CCCCAAAACCCCAAAACCCCAAAACCCCAAAACCCCTATATAAAATACAAGAGTTGTAGTTTGACAATAATAATCTTTAAGAAAGTTTGCAAAAAGATGGACCCCGAAGAGTTAGCAAAAATTTCTAACATGCCTGTATTCCGTCCTACTAAGAAGGAATTCAAAAATTTCAGTAGCTGCATAGAGAAATATGTGAAACTGGCTGGTAACTCAGGTGCCTTTAAGGTTATGCCCCCTAAAGGATGGAAACCAAGAAAGGAAGGCTATGAAAACCTCGATTTGACAGTCCAACACCCGATTGAACAAAATGTATGGGGCAGCAACGGAGTTTATGAGCTCCTTTACATGCTCAGAGAGTCTAGGTCTCTTGATAAGTACCGGAAACTAGTCTCTAAGACTGAACACTCTGCTACCAAAAAGACCCATGCGGAGATCGAAAAGTTATTTTGGAAGACTTTAAAGCTAAACGCTCCTCTTTATGGGGCTGATATTGAAGGATCTCTAATGGACAAAGGAACTCCATGGAATCTGGCAGAACTCGATACCTGCTTGAAGGATGGTTTAGATACCCTCCAGCTCTCCGGAGTGAACAACCCTTACATCTATATAGGGGGTTGGAAGACAATGTTTGGGTGGCACAAGGAAGACCTCGATCTCTACTCAATCAATTACCTACATTTTGGAGCTCCAAAATATTGGTACTCTATTGATTTAGATTCGAACAGTGATTTTGAAGGTCTTGCCCGTAAAACTTTTACAGAAAGGTTTGAAAAGTGATCAGAATATCTCCGTCATAAAAATACATTAGTCCATCCTGTCTTCTTGAAGAAGAAAGGCATCAAGATAAGAAAGATAGTTCAAAAGCCTGGAGAATTTGTTGTCCTTAGAGCTACAGCTTACCATTGTGGGTTCAACTCAGGCTTTAATATTGCTGAAGCCGTCAACTTTGCTCTTTTTGATTGGATCGAAAGAGTGGCTTCAGGAGTCAAATTCTGAAATTGTATCAAAGACAGTGTCAAAATCAACATGTCAAGCTTCTGCCAGACATTGATTGATAAGTTTAAGAAGACCAGATCTTCAAAGAAGAAGGCAATGATTAAAACTTTAATGAAGGTACAAGATGAAGACATCAAAATGAAGGAAATGTTCAAGAAAAAGGAAGAGTTCTTGGCAGAGAAGAAGGCTAAAGCTCTACAAAACCGCCGTAATACCATTAAGAGAAGAAACCGGAAGAGATGTGCTGCTTCTCAAAGGACTACAAGCAAATCTAAGCGTGTGAGAAGACTAGAAAGCTAATGTAGTTTTCTGTTTATTAGTTCAATTTTTCGGTTAAGTATTATTCTGATTTGTATTTTACTGCAATTTCCCTAGAATTTAGACTATTTTGTTGTTTAGCTCAACATGTTCCCTAATCTGCTTAAAGCAGCTCATCTGGCTTTCTTTTCATTAAGTTAAATAATTTGAAAATATCTGGTGATTTCTTTGGAACAAAGAATCTGAGAAATAATTATATTAGCCTTGAATTAAAATACCAAATTCTTCAGAATTCAATTTAGTATTGCATAAAAGGGGTTTTGGGGTTTTGGGGTTTTGGGGTTTTGGGG